TATTTATTTATTTATTTATGTATGTATGTATGTATGTATGTATGTATGTATGTATGTATGTATGTATGTATGTATGTATGTATTTATTTATTTATTTATTTATTTATTTATTTATTTATATTTATTTTTTGGTCAATACTTAATTTTTTGTTTGCAAAACTTTCATTTTTTTTAAAATATTTGCATTTATTTATTTATGTATGTATGTATGTATGAATGTATGTATGTATGTATGTATGTATGTATGTATGTATTTATTTATAATTATATTTATTTATTTATTTATTTATTTATTTATTGTTTGCTCAATACTTAATTTTTTGTTTGCAAAACTTTCATTTATTTTGCAAGTATATACGGCACTAGATTGACTCCGTACTGAATTATTCAGTTGCAAAACGAAAATATATTATACTGTATGCAAGCACAAATAGTTATAGCACAGTTTATTAGAATATTCACTTCTGATGGGTCAGATGTTTTAGCATAATGGACAGCTGACCTTCTGCACTTGTTTCATATTTCTTTATCTTGCATTATTTCAGATCAAATCAATATTTCACATTCAAAAAATGTTTGCTACTTGTTCAAACTACTTTAATTTAAAATTAGCTGAAACGACACAATTCTAGACTTTTTTTAGGATCAATTGTTCAATCAACGGCGACGCAGTAGGTAGTACTCTTGCCTCACAGCATGAAGGTCGCTGGTTCGAGCCTTGGCTGAGTCAGTTGGCGTTTCTGTGAGGAGTTTGCATGTTTTCCCTGCGTTTGCGTGGGGTTTCCTCTGGGTACTCCGGTTTCCCCCACAAGTCCAAAGACATGCGGTACAGGTGAATTGGGTTGGCTAAATTGTCTGTAGTGTATGAGTGTGAATGTGTGTGTATGGATGTTTCCCAGAGATGGGTTGCAGCTGGAAGGACATCTGCTGCGTAAAACATATGCTGGATAAGTTGGCGGTTCACTCCGCTGTGGCAACTCCAGATTAATAAAGGGACTAAGGCGAAAATAAAATGAATGTATGAATGTTCAATCCACTTAAATTTGTAAAAATAATTAAGTTAACTTAAACGATTTGTGTTGGGACAACATGAAGGTATTGTGTGGAACCTAGCATTACAGTGCATTTCCTTCAGGTCTTAATTAACTCAAAGTAAACACTTTGCTTCTGGGCCCTGATCACCTTATCTGCTTTATTTTGAGGTAATGAACATCCCACTGTACATTTTTCCATACTTAGCTGTTTTTCTGAGAAACACACACCCATGTGGGAGGACAGCGGTCAGAGAGAGTCTTACAGGAAAGGTGTTATGATGGAAACATCAGAGCTGTGTGCTGCTTTGTTTATACAGTCTGTTCTGATGCATTTATAGAAGGACATTTAAAGGAAAATCTGACAAACTTTTTAACTAGTGCATGTTCAGTGCTGTAGATAAACCAGCAAACGCAGCAGGGAGCCACGTTTCTGCCTCATTATAGCACGGAAGGCTGCTTGACTTATTTATTTGCTGCATGAATTCTTGATATCAGAAACGAATGCAATGTTTATAGTTAAAATGCTAGTTAGATAGTGTAACAAATCAATTCTATCTTGCTGAAATACAGTGGTAACAATGGTAAAGTACATTGTTACTACTAAAATGGTAGTTTTCAAAATGTGAAAATTACATCACTCCTAGCAATTACATTTTTCAAAATGTAATTGCTAGGAGTGATGTTGTCATTATTGATATCAATACTTGATATTTTAGTTGTGAAAATGTAATTCCCGACATCTAAAAAGACCATTGCACTAGTAGAAATCCAGTTCCTAATATCGAGAATTAACATTTAAACAAGAACAAACTCAATTGTTTATGTCAAGAAATTGTAATAAGTCAAAGCATTCAATCGATTTTAAACATCTGCCAGACATGTCGCTTTGAGTGCTTTAAGATTATTTTGTGTAACGTGTTGTCAATCAGGTCCAGTGGAGCGTATTGACAAACCACTGTGATCTTGATGATGATAGGCTGAAGCAACATGACCCTCAGTGTCACTCTAGAGGCTTTCAATGACTGGTGCGCTGCAGAAACAATGTGTGTGTGTGCGTGAGTGCTTGTGTTGAGTGTGTGTTCAGTCCCCATACAAAATGCCATGACACTTAATGGTGTTGTACTTCACTAATGCATGTCATGATGTTTCTCTGCTTGAACAACGTGTCCTCGAAATGTGATCTCATTGACTTGTTTTTCTGACTGCGGCTGTTAATGCGCTTTACATTCATCTATAGAGAAATCTCTTGCACTTGCCTGTGTGCTGATTTGCATTTCAGTACAAAGATCTGTGCATTAGCTTGTTTAATAAAAGGATGCTATTGCACGCAACACCTTATGTTAGTGTTATTTTAGGGTCATTAATTATTGAAGTATTTAATCATGTTAAAAATAGTTAGATTTCGGCATTTTGAGTTTATTCATTCATTCTTTAATTTTCTTCTCGGCTTAGTCCCTTTATTAATCCGGGGTCACTACAGCAGAATGAACCACCAACTTACCCAGCAAGTTTTTACGCAGCGGATGCCCTTCCAGCCGCAACCCATCTCTGGGAAACATCCACACGCACATTCACACACACGCTCATACACTACGGACAATTTAGCCTACCCAATTCACCTGTACCGCATGTCTTCGGACTGTGAGGGAAACCGGAGCACCCGGAGGAAACCCACGCGAAGGCAGGGAGAACATGCAAACTCCACACAGAAACGGCAACTGAGCCAAGGTTCGAACCAGCGACCTTCTTGCTTGTGAGGCAACAGCTCTACCTACTGTGCCACTGCCTCGCCATTTTGAATTTATATTTCTCTCTATTTTATTCTATAGTAATTGTAGTATATATATGAAAATGATAATCATTTAAATTATTATTTTTCAATTGTTTGTTTTCTTTATATATAATTTATTTATACATTTAAGAATTATTATTATTATTATTATTATTTGTTATTATTTAATAACAAAAAAGAATAGTAACATAATACAATTATATATCACATAAGTACAATAACTGTATGTATCTTTTAGTAAAATATATAATGACCATCCTGCATGAGATTTAGTAGTTCTAGTGACATAATGACATAGCCTATAAAATATAAATATTAGATCAAAAACTTTGGAAATGAATGCAGTTGGAAATGATCAGTTGCAATTTACTTAAAAAAATATATAAATCATATAATATTTGTATTTTAATAATTGACAAAATATGTGTAACTAAGAAGCTACTGTCATTTTAATTATTACTTTTTAATTAATTGTTTATGTTTTCTGTTATATAAATATATTTATTACTATTATTAAATATTTATTTATTTATAAAACACATTTAAAAACAACCAAAGTTTACCAAAGTGCTGTATATAAGAGCGCTAAACACGGAGAAAAAAGCAGAATATGTTTTATTATTATTATTAATTAACTATTATTATTATTATTATTATTATTATTATTATTATTATTATTACTACTACTACAATACAATATTTAATAATTTATAAAGCACATTAAAAAACAATTAAAGTTGACTAAAGTGATGTACATATAGTACTAAACACAGAGAAAAAAAGTTTTTTAATTAATTGTAAATGTTTTCCATTATACAAATATAATTATTACTATTATTTAATTTTTGTAATTTAATTTATTATTATTATTATTATTATTATTATTATTATTATTATTATTATTATTATTACAATAAAATATTTATTTATTCATAAAGCACATTTAAAAACAACCAAAGTTGACCCAGAGTGCTGTACATAAGAGTGCTAAACACAGAGATTCAAGCAGAATATACGTTTTTATTATTATTATTATTATTATTATTATTATTATTATTATTATTATTATACAGTATTTATTTATTTATAAAGCACTTTTAAAAACAACCAAAGTTGACTAAAGTGCTGAAGACAGGATTACTAAAACAGAGAAGAAAGTAGAATATAAGTTTTTAATTAATTGTTTATGTTTTCTGTTATATAAATATAAATCTTACTATTATTTATTTTTTTGTAATTTAATTTATTATTATTATTATTATTACAATAAAATATTTATTTATTCATAAAGCACATTTAAAAAAACCCAAAGTTGACTAAAGTGCTGTACAAAGGAGTACTAAACACATTAAAGAAAGCAGAATATAAAAGTTTTTATTATTATTATTATTATTATTATTATTATTATTATTAACAAAACATAATTATATTATAAATAAAAATCTATAGTTTTATTGTCATGCTTTTAATGAAGTAAATAACCCTGCATAAGGTAATCATTTATGAATTTAAAGACTGCTGAAAAAAAATCCTTACACTTATTTTCATTTTAGAGTTCAAAATAATAAATGTGCAAGCAACTAGTAGTCTTCCAGAGCACGCCAGCAATTGCTTAGCAAAAAAGAGAAATAAAAATAAAACATGCTATCAAATGCAATTGAAAAACCTAGAATGCAGGTTTAATGCAGAATGAAAAGTCGCTTTTAATTATAAATTTCAAATAAATAAAAGGAAATCTGCTCTGATTGATCATCACAGTACATAAGCTTCACACAATACTTCATTGGTGGAACGTGCTGATTTTTTCTGCCCATTTTTCTTTGCTTCTTGTTCTGTATTATTTTTTTATTGCAAGTGACTCACAGTACACTAACAGCACCTGGCAGTCTCCTACTGACCAAAACCCATTTAAAACTGTAATGAAAGGCTCACATAACTGTGGCTGAAGTCATATTAAAGCACGCTTTCCAGCAGCTTGCCTCATTATATTCACATTATGCAAAAAGACACATTAAAACAGGACAAAAAAAAAGCTTTTTAATGATGCGTTTTACTTAGGCTCTGAAAAGAAAAGCTTTCAGAATAAGATATTTGATGTTTTTGCAGAGACTCGCACACAGAAGATGCCAGCATATTCCTCATGTGTTTCTGTATGCGTGTGCTTTTCTCTATAGTGGCTAATGAGGATGGAGAGACCAACAGCAGACCGCTGGCCAGATTTGCTCGTAAGTAACTTTGTGTGTTTTGGAGAAAATGACACATTTAGGAATTAGGTAGGAATTTTTTAATAGAAATGAATGAATTTTTTATGTTTTCTGTTGTCATTTATAGTCATATAAATGTTATCATGCACAGTATAAATGATTTTATTACTGTTTTTAATATATATTGTTTCTATATAAATTTGTTGATCGTCATGACCAGGCGTTTGTGTTTTTGTTTCAGTTATATTGAATTCATGTTATTTTATGTTTATTACATTGTCCTTTTTACAATGAAATAAAGATCCATCCATCCATCATCCGATAGTACATCTATCCATCTATTGTTCTATCATTCCATCTATCATTCTATCGGTCTATTCATCTATCGTTCTCATTCTATCCTCTTTTCTGTCAATCTATATATCTATCTATTAATTGTTTTATCTATCTATCTATCCATCCATCGTTCTGTCGTTCCATCTACCATCTAGTTCTATCAGTTCATCCATCCATCCATTGTTCTTTTCGTCCATCCACCCATCGGTCTATCTGTCAATCCATCATTCTATCTGTCAATTCATTTTCATCCATCCATCCATCCATCCATCCATCCATCCATCCATCCATCCATCCATCCATCCATCCATCCATCCATCCATCGTTCTATCTGTCCATCTATCATTGTTAAATCGTCCATCATCCATCCATCCATCGTTCTGTCATCTATCCATCTATAGTTCTATCAGTCCATCCATCTATCCATCCATCCATCCATCCATCCATCCATTATTCTATACGTCCATCTATCCTTCCATTGTTATATTGTCCATCTATCCATCCATTGTTCTGTCCGTCCATCTATCCATCCATCATTCTGTCTGTCCATCTATCTATTTATTGTTCTGTTCGCCCGTTCGTTCGATCATCCATATATCGTTCCATCCATCCATCTATCCATTTATCTTTCCATCTTTCCAATGTTCCATACTATTCCATCCTTCAATCGTTCCATCTATCCAACTTTCCATCCATCCATCCATCCATCCATCCATCCATCCATCCATCCATCCATCCATCCATCCATCCATCCATCCATCCTTCAATAGTACATCTATCCATCTATTGTTCTATCGTTCCATCTATGATTCTAGCAGTCTATCCATCTATCGTTCCCAGTCTATCTTCTTTTTCATCCATCTGTCCATCCGTCTGTCCGTCTGTCCATCCATCTGCCCATTGTTATATTGTCCATCTATCCAGCCATCATTCTGTTCGCCCGTTTGTTCATCCATGTATCGTTCCATCCATCCATATATTGTTCCATCCATTCATTTATCGTTCCATACCATTCCATCCTTCTATTGTTCCATCCATCGTTCCACCCACCCATCCATCCATCCATCCATCCAATGCTCTATCCATCATTCCATCCTTTCAACTTTCCATCCATCCATCGTTCCATCCATCCATTGTTCCATACATCCATATATCGTTCTATTGTTCCGTCCATCCATCCTCCAATAGTACATCTATTGTTCTATCATTTCATCTATTATTCTATCAGTCTATCCACCTATCGTTCTATCTATCCATCTATCGTTCTCAGTCTATTCTCTTTTCCATCCATCCATCCATCTGTTTGCCATCCGTCCGTCCATAGTCAGCTGAAAAAAATTATTTGGAGTTCAAAATATTAAATTTACTAAAACCAGTAGCAACATGCCAAAAAGGAGAGAGAGCATTTTGCACCTTGGAAATGAAATAAAAAAAAGCATAATTGAAGTTCTGATTATTCATATAACAGATGCTTTCATTCAAGAAAGTGCTGCAGACACTCGCAGCATGTCTTTATTACACAGTTTTTTTTTGTTTTGTTTAATTTTTACAGTTATGGAGTTACAATATAAGTGAGTGTTAAAGGCAATTTACTGGGTCATGGAATTGCCTAAAACCAGCATGTCTAAAAATCATTATCTAGTGATCACAAATGACTGGTAAAGTTGTGATGAGGTTCTACAGAATTATTAGTCAAACGCATTAAAACTTGTCTGTAAAATAACTACTGCAATGAATTTAGCATTACATTTTTGTCCTTGGTCACTGTACAAGACCTACTAGCTGCTGATTCTAGAGACGACAGAGCACTACGCGCTCATGCAACTAGATGGCAGCATATATCAACAGAAAATATATGTAGCTTAGTGCTGGATCAAAAAAGAAAAAAAAGGCCCACAGATTGTTGTAGAGAAGTAGATAAATAAGTAAATGTAACAAAATAAAAATAAAAAAGTACTTAAAAGACTTAATAAAACAATTATATTTTGTGTTTAATTGCATTTAATTCTAAATTATTTTTAAAAATAATTTATTTATTATTTTCTTCTTTTGTTTTTCATTAATTTTTTGCTCTTTTAAACTTTTATTAATTCTTTTTTTTACTGCTTTTTTATTCAGTATTTGTGGGCTCTTTATTTATTTAATACCACATTTATTTGTTTTTATTTATTTTACTTTTCCAAGAAAACAAGCACAAATTATTTGTAAAATTAAATGAACATTGAAATAAGTAAATAAGTAAATAAGTATACAATTAAATAAGTAATTAAATAAGTGAATGAATAAGTAAATAAGTTAATAAGTATATAAGTTAACAAGTAATTAATTCAGTTAATATGTATATAAGTAAATAAATAAGTAAATAAGTTATTAATTATACAAGTAAACAAGTAATTAAGTAAAAATAAATAAGTAAACAAATAAATACGTAAATAAACAAGTGACTAAATAAGTAAAACAATCAATAAATAAAAAAGTAAATAAACAAGAAACTTAATAAGTAAATAAATAAATATGTAAATAAACAAGTAACTAAATAAGTAAAACAATCAATAAATAAATAAGCAAAATAACAAGAAACCAAACAAGTAAATAAATAAATAATTGAATAAAAAAGTAACAAAAAATAAGTAAATAAACAAGTAACTAAATAAGTACATAAACAAGTATTTAAATGAATGAATAAATAAATAAATAAATCTTTTAAAAAGTTATTATGTATATAGAGATATAAGTAAACAAATAAATAAGTAAAAAAAAACAAATAAATGGGTAAATAATCAAGTAACTAAATAAGTAAACAAATAAACACATAAGTAAATAAACAAACTAACAAATAAATATATAAGTAAATTAATAAATAAGTAAATAAATAAATAAATAAATATTTAAAAAGTTATTATGTATATAGAGATATAAGTAAACAAGTAAATAGGTAAAAACAAATAAATGGGTAAATAATCAAGTAACTAAATAAGTAAATAAATAAATAAATAAATAAACACATAAGTAAATAAACAAACAAACAAACAAATATATAAGTAAATTAATAAGTAAATAAGTAAATAAATGAACAAATAATTAAATAAATAAATACATAAATAAGGATATAAGTAAATAAGTAAATGAATAAGTAAATAAATAAGTAAATAAAATTAAGTAAATAAGTAAATGAGTAAAAATAAATAAAAAAGCAACTGAATAACTAAATAGCTAACTAAATACTGAAGCAGAAAATAATAATATTAGAAGGAAAAACTAAAACTAATTTAGAATGAACTGTAATAAAAATAAAAAAACAATATATTTGTCTCCAGGCTCAAAGTCTCAAAGCGCTCTGTGGAACACACTCACGGCTGGGACGAGCAAGAAGGAGAAGGGGAAAGCACAGCGGGACGTCCCGGATGATCCACAGCGCATAGAGGAGATCCTGGCGGATGAGCTTCCCTCCACAGACACACCAGAAGCTACAGAGAAAACTGCTGTCAGGTTCATCTCTCTCCTCTTATTGCGCTTCACGCTTGCTTTGAGGGTACAGATCTAATGTTTTGCAATCTGACCACAGTGTGAACAGTTATGTAGGAATTCATGTGACGTTTACATCATTTTTGATCAACGCACATCATTATTCTGTGCTGGTTAATGCTGCAAACATCCTTTTCAGCAGCATATAATAACACATCCAAACCAAATATGAAAGAAAAACTGAGTGACAAGTCGTGCAACAGGGTAAAATTCTTCAATATGTCGGCAATGTTTCAGTTTCACTTTGAGTTTTGACTGGATACATGTTGTTTAAAACAAATTAACAGTAAGCTACAGTAGGTTATCAGACTCTGCAAACTATATAAGTTTCTGCACAGATAAATCAGGCGTGAGCCCTGCCTTTAATAGTCATATTAAACATAATCTTATTAGACAGAAATAAAGCGAGTCTGAAAGTGCTTAAAAGGGCATGTATTGTGCAAAAATCAGTTTTATAAGAGGTTTAATCACAGATTTTTGGCACCAGTGTGTAAATATAGCCAGCTTCTAATGATAAAAATCTATTAATTTATTTTTAATAGATTTATTTTTTTTTATCTTATAAATTTATTTTTTATCATTACACTTGATGAAAACAGTCTGCAGAAACACTTTGATTGACATTTTCTCTTTGTACGTGTCATCAGAGGGGGAAAGCCCCGCCCATTAGTGACCATCTCTCCCTCATTATCATAGGATGTTAGTCTTGTTTTTGAATCTGCCACTATGCTGACGCATTCATAGCTCCGCCCTCTTTTGAAAAGAGTGCAATCTCATTTAAATTTAAAGTGACAGTCACCAAACTGACACAATTAGGATTAAACCAGAAAAGGGGCAGTTTCAAAAAGTTATGTAACATTATTTGCGGGGTATTTTTAGCTGAAACTTCAAATACACATACAAATTGGTTGCAGCAGTAAAAAGCAGGTCATATATTTTTTACCAGTGGAAAAATCTGAGAAATGTTTGAAGTCATTTGGAGAGCAATTTTAACAACAAAACACTAGTAGGTGGTGACATGTCTGTCTTAAAGGGATAGCTCAGCCAAAAATGAAAACTTAGTCATTGTTTCTTCATCCTCCACTTGTTCCAAACCTATTTGAGTTTCTTTCTTTTGTTGAACACTAAAGATATATATATACAGATATTTACATATATTTTGTTTCTACTATGGATGTTTTCCCCTAACATTCTTCAGAATATCTTGTTTTATGTTCAACAGAAGAAAGAAAGAAAGAAAGAAAGAAAGAAAGAAAGAAAGAAAGAAAGAAAGAAAGAAAGAAAGAAAGAAAGAAAGAAAAAGTATAGAGCCACTTTAGCGTAAGTAAATGATGAGGATATTTTACTTTTTGGAAGTATAATCCCATAAAATAAAAGGGTCATAAAATGTGGTCCAATTCCCAGTCAAAACTGACTGACATTTCACATTACCAACAATATTTCAGTTTGCATCTGAGTGTGTGTGTGTATAAATGTTAAAAATTAAAATAAATCTGGTGAGGATAAATCTGATAATATTTACTAAAATAGTATGTGAGAGAAATAAAGTAAGCTGAAAGTGCTAAAAAGGCACCTATTGTGCAATAATTACTTTAATTAGTGGTTTAATCACACATTTGTGACACCAGTGTGCAAGTATAAGCAGCTTCTAATGGTAAAAATCTATTTATTTTATCTTTTATAATCACACTTGATAAAAACAGTCTGCAGAAACACTTTGACTGACATTCTTCCTTTGTACGTGTCATCAGAGGGGGGAAGCCCCGCCCATTAGTGACCATCTCTCCCTCATTAGCATAGGATGTTAATCTTGTTTTTGAATCTGCCACTATGCTGAGGCATTCATAGCTCCGCCCTCTTTTGAAAAGAGCGCTATCTCATTTGAATTTAAAGTGACAGTTACCAAACTGGCATAATTAGAATCAAAGCCTAAAAGGGTCAGTTTCAAAGAGATATTTCAAAGAGATATAAACCATTATTTGTGTGGTATTTTGAGCTGAAACTTCACATACACACTCTAGGGACACAGTAGACTTATTTTACATCTTGTAAAAAAGGGCATAATAGGTCCCCTTTGAACAAATGGCTTCATAAAGTCTATACAGTGCAACATAACAAAACACTCTCAATGAAATGTCAAATGAGAAGAAATAGCTGCCTGTGTGTGACTTGTATATGTCTTCGCGAACTTTTCTAATGAAGCTGCTTTGAATATTTGCTCATTAGGGTGAGTGGCATTTGATTATTTTTAATGAAATATTCATTACGACTGAGTCTGACAGAGAGTTGTCGCCCTTACAATGATTGTTATTAATGGTGTGTTTGTTCCTGAGCCTGTTCAACTCATTAGTGGCATTGTTAGCATAAAATGTTTGGCGGTGTCTAATTGATAAGGGGAATATTAGTCATTACTGGGCACCTGCCGTACGTATAACACACGCTGAGAAAACAGACCCGGACAGGACGTGTGATGAATGCGACTTATGGCAGTATTAATACAAAATGCGAATGCAGTCGAATTAATTGTGTTTCGTTAATTAACATTTAGGCTTGACATGTTTGATCACCTTGCTTCTGTAAATATTTGAAGATTCTCGAGACCTCAAGGTTTTTTTTTTGGCTGAATTTTTGATTGCACTTTATGTATTTATTTATTTTTATTGGTATTTAACAAGACCACACATATTAGTACACTACATGACAAAAGTCTTGTCGCCTATCCAAGTTTAAGGAACAACAATAATAACTTGACTTCTAGTTGATCATTTGGTATCAGAAGTGGCTTATATGACAGGCAAAGGCCTCTAGATGACGCTTATTTTAGCTAAATTAAATATAATCATGCCTTGATTTTTAATTATTTAATTAGGACAGTAAGGTCTGACTTTGCTTAGACAAAAGTCTTGTCACTTAACAGAAATAATGTAAAGTATAGAATATAAAGTCATGCTGCAGTGGAGAAAGAATGAATATTGTGTATGACACCCATGAGCTTGGAGGACTGCATCCATACATCTCTGCAATGACTCAAATAACTGATTAATAAAGTCATCTGGAATGGCTAAGAAAGCGTTCTTGCAGAGTTCATCAGGATACTTTGGATTCATCTTCAATGCCTCCTCCTTCATCTTACCCCGGACATGTTCAATAATGTTCATATCTGGTGACTGGGCTGGCCAATCCTGGAGCACCTTAACCGTCTTTGCTTTCAGGAGCTTTGATTGATGTGGTTCTAATAGGTCTTCTGCTGTATTTGTGATGATTCAGTTCAACAGATGATTCATCAGAAAAATCTACCTTCTGTCACTTTTCCAAATGATCAACTAGAAGTCAAGTTATTATTTGTTGCTCTCACAACTGGGATCGACAACAAGACTTTTGTCAGGTACTGTGCATAATACAGAATAAGAAAAAATCACAGACTGTAGTTCTCGTATTTCCCCACTATCCCCTAATTAAAAAAAAATTAATTAAATAAAAACAAACATTTTGCATTTTATTTTTAATATTTCCTTATTCTTTTGCTCACATACAGCTGTTTAATTAGCAGTGTAGCTATATTTATCAATTCATTTATTAATTAATTCAGTCCTTTATTTAATAGCCATTTACTTATTTGGCATAATAAGCCTTAGATTATTTGTTTACATATGTATTTGTTTATTTTTGTAGCCATTTATTTGAACCCTTTATTTCACCATTTATTTAGGGCTTTTTTGTTGTTTGTTAACGTATTTTGTCCTTCATGTGTTCATTTAGTAATTTCTTTTTTATTATCCCATTTTTTGGGTGCTTGCTTGCTTGGTTGGATGGTTTATTTATTTATTTTTTATATATTTATTTATTTTTTATTTATTTATTTATCAATTTATAAATCTTATAGCGCATTTATTGTGTATGGCCATCCATAGCACTTCACAATCATGAGGCGCTCTCCACACCACCACCAGTGTGCAGCATCCACTTGGATGATTCGACAGCTCCCACAGGACAACGGCGCCAGTGTGCTCACCACACACCAGCTATTGGTGGAGTGGAGAGACAGTGATAGAGCCAATTCGGTGGATGGGGATGATTGGGAGGCCATGATCGTGAGGGCCGATAGAGGGACTTTGGCCAGGACACCGGGGTTACACCCCTGCTCTTTCACGAGAAGTGCCATGAGATTTTTAATGACCACAGAGAGTCAGGACCTCGGTTTAACGTCTCATCCGAAAGACGGAGCCCACTGACAGTGTAGTGTCCCCTTCACTTTTACTGGGCATTAGGACTCACACAGACCATAGGTTGAGCGCCCCCTGCAGGCCTCACTATCACCACTTCCAACAGCAACCTAGTTTTTCCCATGTTGTCTCCCATCCAGATACTGACCAAGCTCAGCCCTGATTAGCTTCAGTGAGAAACTGGTCTTAAGCTGCAGGGTGATATGGCTGTTGCTCAGGATTTCTTTTGCCAAATAAAAATCAGGTTGTGTTTTAAAATGACCCCTATTTTCCATCCATCCATCCATCCATCCATCCATCCATCCATCCAATAGTTCATCTATCCATCTTTTGTTCTATCATTCCATCTATCATTCTATCAGTCTATCTACCTATCGTTCCCAGTCTATCCTCTTTTCTATCAATCTATATATCTACTTATTGTTTTATCTATCCATCGTTCTGTTCTTCCATCTATAGTTCTATCAGTCCAACCATTGTTCTATCCATCCATCCATCCATCCATTCATCCATCCATCCATCCATCCATCCATCCATCCATCCATTCATCCATCCATCCATCCATTTATTTTGTTCGTTCGTTCATTTCTTTGTATTTATTTACTAATTTATAAATTTATAATTTTTTTATGTATTCATTAATTTATTTATTCATTTATTCTGATATTTATGGTCATTAAATTGGCAAATCAAATTTCAAACAGACATTTGCACTTGTTGCATCTTAAAATCACTCTTTCA